CTTCTCCCCCTCCTTCCCAAACCCCCAAAAGGCAGATTTCCACTCTTAGGCTAAACCTTTTTCCTAACACTTCCCCCCCCCCCCCCCAATGCACACACCCTTCATCCTACGAGCGGATGCATAATTATCTAAAGGCTGGGGAAGGCTACATCTGCTCTGCTTCGGTTTATTTGGGGCCATAAACGGGGGGAGCCCCCTTTGAAATGAATACTGTAGGGAAAAGCAGGGAGTTGATAAAGGAGTAAAGTTACAGAAAGGGGAAAGCTCCGAATTTCAGGCTTCTGCCGCTCCGAGGTGCAGGTTGCTGTTTAGTTGGGCCACATCTGAAACAGGGCACTTCCCTATTGTTTTCTTAAGAAACCGCCGGTCAGAAGCGCTTCTGCTCGGCAGTAACTTGAACTCTTCACTGGGCTGTGGCGTGCACACAGCCACACACACACACACACAATTTGATTTACCACGTTTGCGCTGGCTAAAATAGACCTGTTTACAGATTTATGCTTTGTGCACAAATAAACTTGATCTTTAAAGTGCGGTTGCTGTTCTGATCACCTTTCAGGGGGTTCTCTCCAAGCATGCACTGTGGATCTCCCGGTGCACAATGTCCCGCTCTCCTGGCGCTCAGAGCTTTAGCTCGCAGCTTTAACTCTTAATCCAGCGAGGCTGGGGTTGTTAAGAAACGTGCCTTTTCCCAAAAGTCTTTGAGGAGCTAGGAAAATTTGTTTCCTTTTTCCTTGAATATTTGGGGGGAAGGGGAAGAAAGGATAGAAGAGACTGTCACTCAGGAAGAAGAAAAAAAAAATCTGTAATTAGTATCCCTTAAGAGCCCCCGGCTCCTCTGGTAAAGTGATCTCAAAACAAATTTGCAGAAGTGCAGTAGGCGACTGGAACTAAAGAAAGGGGAGAGAAAACACAAACTACAAGGCTGGCTAATGAGAGTGCTGGGGGGAGCGGGGGAAGGGGGTGTGGGATGGCGCTGCATTTTAGGAGGCTTGAGTCCGGAAAGAGGGAACAGCCTGAACACCGGGCACTGTCTGCTCCTGTGGAGGGGCACACAGAACATGGTGAATGTGTCAGGACCTCTGTTCCTCACCCTGACCCTCCCCGCTCCGCAGCAATTGCCGTCCCGCACCTATTTCGGGAGGATTCAATCCCATACAGGGACAATTTGTAGAGAGGTTTGTTTGTTTTGTTTTGTTTTGTTTTTGGTTTTTTTTTTCCCAAGCCTCATGCTTTTCTATTGAAGCAAATAAAAGCCAGCCGAAACCAGAAATCACCGAGCCGGCGGTGTGTGAGAGTTCCTTGGGGCCCACCTGAGCGCTCCCCGTCGTGTCCTGTCCCGGCTCAGCGCTCCGCACCTCTGCAAAGCGCTGCGCGGTTCTTCCGCGGACCGCCGGGCCCCCGGTGCGGGACAGCAACCGGCAGCGAGGGCGTTATTCGGGGGGGGGGGGAGGGGGTGGGGTGTTATTTTGTTTAATAGTGCGTGGGGGACCGGCGACGCCAGACACAAGCGGAGCCGCGGCTCTGCCGTCGCTTCGCTCGGTGCCGCCTTCAACCCCGTCCCGTCCCGTCCCGTCCCGCCTCTCCCCTCCTGCCGTCGGTGGGTGCCGGTGCCGGTGGCTGCGGAGGCTCCCCCCGCGCCTCCCCGCCAGCAAAACTGTTTCCCAGTTGGGTTGGTGGGACCGGGCGCTTCCAGCCGTGTGAGAAACGTTTGGTTCCCCCCAGCGCTGGGAACCGTGCGCACCTAAGTAAACACATTAGTACCTGCCAGAGGGATTTGTACAGAAGACAGCTGAAGAAGGCATTGGCCTCTGCTGGCACCCTGGGACTCCCAAGAGAGATCAAAGGGACACGAGGGGTTTTTTAGCAGCCTTGAGACTGGGAAAAGCTGCTAGTTCCTGCTATCGGAGGGACGTCCCAGCGAGCACATGGTTCAATTATTCAACCTCCTCCCTCCCCTGCGCCCCACTCCCATTCCCCGGCTCCTTCTCCACAGAAAGGTGGGAGCTCTGGAAAAATCGTACGGCTTCCCCAAGGCGATCCGAGCAGGCGTTTTCCCCTTGGAAATAGCTGCTGGCCCGACGCCTGCCCACCTTGCCTTCGCCCTCAGAAAATAAGCTGAGCCCGCTGCCGGCTGCCCGCCTCTCTCTTTGGGTCGCGGGCCATTTTACGGAAGCCAATAAAGATGCACAATCAATCAATCAATCAATCAATCAATCAATCAATCAATCAATCAATCAGCTGATGGCTTTAAACACTCGGTCGCGTCGCTTCAGAGGAGAGCGGTGACAACGCAGCGGCACCGCGGGCGCCCCGTCTCCCCCCACCCATGGCAGCTGGGGCGGGCGGCCGTGGGCTGGGCACCCTGCCCCACACCCCGCACCCCTCTTCTCCTGGGGGAGCGGGGCAGGCAGAGCGGGGGGAGGCGGGTGTTCAGCAGGGTGTTCCGCGCCTCCCGCGTTCAACAAACCGCAGCGGGGCGGAGGGAGCGGGAAGGGAAACTTGCACTCGTGTTAAAAGACTCCGATGACTTCGTGCGTGGGCCTTCCGGAAAAAAAGACTTGATTAAATGACAAAGTTCTTGTGCTTACCGAGTTATTACCCTTTGCTTTTGTGATCCCAGGGCCCTGTTTGCTTTGGCTGGGGAGTGAGGTAAAGATTATCGTTATTAATATCGAACACAAACATTTTAATTGCAAACACACTGAGGACCTTCACTGGGAAGCCCGGCATGTCAGCCGCAGCCGCGGGGGTCACGGAGAGTCTCTTAGGGAGGTATTTTATTTATTTAATAAAAGAAAACAAAACAAAACAAAAAACAAAAAAAAAAAAAAAAAAAAAAAAAACAAACAAAACAAAACAAAACCACACACACACAAAAAAAAAAAAAAACAAACAAAAAAAAAAACAACACCACAACCTCCTTTAGGCAAATGTACTCCAAACAATCGCTCGAGCTACCCCGCTGCTGGAGGAGACCCCGCCGTGGGGGCCCCACCGGGCGAACAGGCCAGTTCGTTGGGGTGAATGCCGGGTGGGAGACAGGCTGGCCGGGTGTCCGTGGGGGGACAGGCTGGCCGTGGGTGCTCCGACCCCGCGGGTCCCCTGCTGCGGGACGCGGCTCCTGAGGGGCTTGGCTGGGCCGGTGCTGCACCCCCCTCTCTGGGCTGGCGGGGGTCGGGACAGATTATTAAAGCAGGCGACGTGCTGCTGACCCGATACTTTGTCGCTGATCGAGTCCCTTCGCTGCAGAAGCGAACTGTAACATCTTCGCTTTTTGGCCGAAACGCGGAGATTTGCGGGCAAGAGCCCGCGCTCCCCGCAGCGCCGCTCTCTGAAGAGCCCGGGAGCTCCCCGAGAGCTCCCCGGGGGGAAGGGGTTTATTTGAAACGAGAAAAAAGGGGGGCAAACTATCGTGCCCATCACACTGTGCCGCCGCAATTACTCCTTACTCATTAGAGAGCAATTAGAGCGGGTGCTTAACTGGTTTAAAAACCAGGCTGGCCACGGTGGCAGCACGGAGGAAGGAGGCCACGGTGATGGGAGAGCCACCCCGCAGGGCAGCCTTCTTCCAAACCTTTCCCTTCAAGACCGACGAACTCGTGCCCGAGCCGGCCGCGAAGGGGGAGAGACCTTCCCGAAACGTGTCTGTGACCTTCCAAAAAAAAAAAAAATCAAGGGTTAAAACTGATGAGGAGAGCGCCCGTGGGCAGAGCTGAAGCAGCCCCACGCAGCTTTTGCCCGCTCCCGGGCGTGCGTGGGCAGGGCAGAGCCTGGCCCTTCCCGGCGGTGTGACCGGTCCGTTTCAAGCCGTAACGCTCCGACTGCGAGCGGCACCGCTCCACCATCCGCGGAAAGGCTGAGGGTTTTTTTACATCACTGAGTGAAAGGCTTCACATGTCGTGACACCCCCCACCCCAACCCCTTTTCAGCCGCTTAACCCTTTCCTCCCTGAGGGGCCCTATTCTCTTCTCCCTCAGGCTCAAGGAAGTCAAGGGGAGTTACCTCTCCCGGGAAGAGCTCACAGCCCCCGAGGGACCGGGCTCCTGCCACAGCCGCCGGCCGCCCCGTTGCGGTTTTGCCTGATTTCAAGTCCTCCGGTGCCGGGAGGAAAAGGTGATACTCGCTGAGCCTCTCTCAGGACCAGGGTGTGTGTGTGTGGCTCTTTACGCTTCCCCTTTCTAAGCTTACCCACCCCGCGCAGGGCAAGGCCGAAGAAGTGTCCCTGTCGGAACAGTTTTGGGGTAGCAGTCCTGCTCTCCGGGGCGGTGAGGGGGGGAAGCGCGCTCGCCAAGCGCGGCGAGGGAACGGGGGGGGGGGGGCGGCCGGACAGGCTGCGGGTCCTGCCCCGGCACCCCCCGTGCCGGCCCGGCTGCCCCGGGCAGAGACGCTGCTGAGGAGAAAACGAAGGAAAAAATCTGTCCTGAGTGCTGCCTCCAGTCACACGGGTGGTGTCTCGGCTATATAAGTCTGACTCCTCAGGGTTTGATCTCGCTGAATTCAGTGGCGGGTTTTAACTCCGGGATCGGGTTATTATTTAATTACGGGGGGGGGGGGGGGGGGGGGGGGGAGAGGGAAACACTGTAACACAAAGAACTTTATTTTACAATCCAAGAAAACCGTCTGTTCTTATATACAATGTCACATTCCACCATTTAAATATATATTTGTTTTGTTTACAAAAGAAAAGTCAGTACTAAAATTATTTACAGGAAGGAAACGAGGCGGGAACTCTTTAAATACGCCTAACACCAAATGCAACCAACAGCTTCACTCAGACAGGAATGAACTTTGCGGTGAGTCTCGGACAAAGCAGATCACCGGTACACTGGTAAGTATCTTAAATTAAAAAAAAAAAAAAAAAAAAAAGAGGAGGGGTGGTCTATGCAACACAATTGAAAGAAAATAAAACTCAGGAAAACAAAAAAAGTGGAAGGGAAAAGGGGGAAAGTCTGTTTGGCTCGAGTCGGTGAGGGCCATTTTCCTCTGGGGTGGGTGTACCTTGACTCGACCTTAACGAGGCCCCTGCCTGGGCTTTCCACTGTGTTAATTTGCTTCATTACTTAGTTTAGAGGGAAGGGGGTGGGGGCTCCATCCCCGTTAAATATACTACCAGAGCAACCGGATTTATTTCTCCACCACTTCCTCCGCGCTGGGCAGTTTGGGCTCGTCGGAAGAAATACTGTCCACTATGGAAGAGAGACAGCGAAGGCTGCTGGAGGCCGACGACTCGACGGCGGAGCCCCCTGCTCAACGAGAGAAAAGGGATTAAAGAGCAAACGGGTTCCTCCCCGCCGGGCTGGCGGGGCAGGGCTGGCGGCGGGCGGAGGAGCCCGGGCGCCGTGAGGGGCCGCGGCCGTGAGGGCAGAGGGCGCGCGGCGGCGGCCGGCCCGCCGCGCCTGAGGGAGGAGGGGGGCGGCCGCGGGGCGAGTTACCTTCCTTGGGGCTGACTCCGAGGGCTCGGGAATGGTCAGAAAGGCTTGGCCAGTCGGAGCTGCAGGTGCTTAGGAAGTCCGAACTGGGGATCTGCGGCACACGGGCGGGGGGCGGGAGCGACACACGGAAGGGTGGTGAGGAGGGGGGGGGGGGGGGGGGTGCGGACAGAGGACGGGCGTTAGTGAGGTGGCCGGCGGCTCCCCGGGGCGGGCCGGCTGCTCGCTGAAGGCTTCAGGAGCTCGCCAGTCGCTCAAGGAGCCCCCGCCGGCCTGCCCGCCCGCCCCGGCCGCCGCAGGGGCCGTGCCGGGGAAGAGGGGAAGGGGACGGGCGCGGCGGTTTCGCAGCTGGATGCCCGGGCGGCGGGAGGAATCAAGCGGCGGTGCTTACATTTCCCTGCTTGGGGCTGAAGCTGAAGGGCCCCCCCCCGATCTCCTGCATTTTCTCCTGCTGATCCAGCCTGTGCAAGAGGTCCTGAAGCCTCTCGATGTAGCTGATGGCGCTCCTCAGGATCTCCACCTTGGGCAGCCGCTGGTTGGGGTTGGCCACAGTCCGCCTTTTCAGGGCCTCGAAGGCTTCGTTGATCTTCTTCAGTCTCCTCCTCTCCCGCAGGGTGGCTGCTTTCCGTCTGTCCGTGGGGGCCGACTTTCTCTTGCAAGTTTTACAAGCCCAGATCAAACACTGGCCGGGGCAGTGAGGGGGTTGTAGTCCCGGGGGTGCCAGCACATGCTCCTCTCCACTGCTGTCACTGCCGGCCTCTGGCGGCATTTGGTCCTGACAGGGGGACAAGGTGCCATCGCTGCCTGGATACAGCGGGGATCCCTCAGCCATCTCCAGCTGCTGCAGGGCTCCATTCTCCCCTTCTAAGTAAAAGAAATAGGAGCCAGTTTCAAAAAGGTCCATCATCATGCTGTGCCTCGGCCTCTCTGCCTGCTTGACTTGGGTGGCAGGCTCAAAACCACCCCGAGGAACAACCCAGATGGAATTTAATTAGTGCAGTGACATAAGTCCCCCCTGCTTTATATAGGAGCTGCTGAAACCCTATCCAACTTTTAGCTGTCGCAGTGCATCACCCTCCAAAACTGATTCCAGCCGGTCTCCTGGGCGCTGTCCTGGGAACATCTCCTATTTAGAAGGCGGAGGAAGGGGGGCACAAGAGGAGGGAGGCAATTTAAAAAAAAAAAAAAAAAAAACAACAAAACCCAAACCCAAAAAAACAAAAACCCCAAACAAACAAAAAAAAGGCAAAAAAGAAAAATACAACCCAACTTTCCCCCCCACCCCACCCTGAAATCCCGTGAGCTCAGGGTGCAGCGAGGGGACGCGAGGCGGGGGCTCAGGAGCAGCGGGCAGCCCTGTCCCCACTGCCAGCCCGCGAGGGCACGGCTGGAGGACAAAGGCGTGGGGCTTCGCAGGGAGCCCTCCCCCAGCCCACCCCTCACACTCCTCAGCAAACGCTCCTTGCCCCAGTGCTAAGTATAGATCTATACGGAGAGATTTCAAAGGCAGCCATCACTCTTCAAACAGACGGGTTAATATTTTCAGAAGAAGGCCCTGCTATTCCTTGTCCCCCCCCTCGCCCCCCCTTGAAGCATGCCATTCCTGTGACCCAAGCCACCCTGGGCCAGACCAAGGTTAGGAGCCAAGCTCACTGTTCCTCCACACACAGGCGGAAGGTTGCAAAGGCAGATCATTGCTGCCGTGCTGAAGCACCCATGGCTGTACACCTCGGTTTAGTCTTTTAATCTGAACTTTCCCACGTTGCCCATGAGGTGACAGGAGTGATTCCAGGTGACTGAGTTAGGGTCTGACAGGGCACTCTGGACAGCCTGTGTCCTTGGTGGTGTTTAGGGGAAGCAAAGCCCAGGTGTCTGGTGTAACTGCAGTTCAGTCCCTTGAGCCTTACAAGGTATATATACAGCTTCCTAGCCCCTGAAACAGAGACGGAGCTTGTGATCACTCTCTGTTGGCATATATTAAAGTGTTCTCTGTTAGCATATACTAAAGTGTCACATCATGTCTAGGCTTCTCTTGCTTCAAGAAAGAGAAGGTATGGGAAAATGGCCTGTTTGCCTCTTTTCCTGGACTGCCTTGTGCTCCTTAAATCCCATGTGATTTCTCTCTGCTTATGTAAATATATATATGTGTATATGCATATATATGTGTCCATATCTATAGACACACACACATATATATATGCATATTTATGTGGAAAAGTAAGTGTATTTCTGTGTGTATAGGTATGCACATGTATATATATGTGTACACCTTTTCACAGAAACTCACAGTAATATATAAAGAGTGGATGAAGCCCCTGGAACACCACGATATCTCTCAAATGTAGCTTCTACCTTCATTCTTTTTTGAGGGAACCATAGCATTTTTGTTAATTTCTCAAAAGCTACAATGAAATTGATCATTGACTTGACTATTTCTCCAAAACTGATTGCAAACCAACTTTTTGGAGTACAAAAATCTTAAAGAGTAGTTGTGATTTTGTTTTGACCAAATCAGTGTTGTTGGAATGGATCTCATTTCTGCTTTAATGAGACAGAACAATATCCAGTTTTGGATGAGATGGAGAAATTCAGACCATTCTCAGCGAAACTAATTCTGATAATAATATTCCAGCAATGAAGTTTTTTTCCTCTTCAGATTAAAGAAAGGGCAGAAAGTCTTGCAGTTAAGGAGCTGAACATAAGACAGAGTTTCTCAGTTTCCATGCTCTGCAACTTGCTTTCTGTTTGACCTTTGACCAGTCAATTAATTTCCTTGTGATTTAATTTTCTACCTTTAAAAAGAGATATAATGTTGACCTTTACCCATCCCTTGTGTTTCTCATTTAATTTGTTGACTATCCAGGGAGGAGACACCCCTTGGAGTTACATGCTTTGGAGTCCCACAAGGGTGTTTGTCCTGTACTATTAGTGATGGTAGTAATAAAAAAAAAAAAAAAAAAGAAAAATCATAAGCCTGATAATTATTTAAAACATCTTTACATTTACTACAGTTATTTTTTCTTTTAATCTTTAGTTTCTTCACTACTGCTCTGGAAATGTTTGGAGCAAGACAGAGGCAAGATCAATCTACTGGTAAGGTGCACAAATGAAAACTTTAAGGGAGAAATATTACCAAATTGTTGTTGTCCTTCCAAGAGTTTTAACTGGACTTAGGGAGGTGGGAAACTGGAAGTTTAAGAGCCAGATGCTCCTTCTGCTGTCAACAGATTTTTTTTTTTTTTTTTAAACAGGAAACAAAATAAGTTCTTTCTTTCCAACACTTAGTTCTAGAGTAAACAGATTTGGTTCCTCACAGTAATGTGGGCACAGCATAGCTAGCCTTTTATCAAGCAAAACTCCGATCAACTGTAACTGAAATTTAATTTGAATGAAGTAGGCCAATTTCCCCATCACATAGGCATCTTGAATTTTACTGTGGCCACCACACCGCATTTCCCATTCCAGCTCCTTAGTGAACATAACACAGCTACCAAACAAACCTAGCATATTTAAACAAAATGTCCTCGGTGATGTGCTCCATTATGAAAATGGATCAAGTGAAGGATTCAAAAGTTGGTGGTCTTTTTGCTCTTCATGGCTTGCATTCCTGATTAGGTTAGATATAAACACAGAGACATAAGAGGAAGCAAAAGCACGTAAATAAGAACAACTGGACACAGAACCAGAAGGAGGATCACTGCTGAACTCCGCTTGTAACTTCAGTCGGCCTGATGGCCCCTTACAGAAAAATTGACTGTCAGTCTGTGAATCCAGTTCTTTATTCAATTGTTACTGCTTCCACCAGAATACTGTGGTACTTCACTGAAAATGTACTTTCAATATATTTACACAAGTAAAATATGAAATGTAATGTATTTCTCTGGTCTACAAGGTCTGTTATCCTACCAAAGAAGTACTTCAGTAAGCAGTAAATTCAATAGGTGGTCAGGGTGACCCAAATCCAACAAAGTTGCACTGCATTTTAAGTCACAACTTTGATCCCTCCAAATTCACTTTTCCACATACACCTTTATGGATAATTGTGGTTGAATAATGAGCCTGGAACTGCCTGGGTCACTCTTGACACCTTATGGCTTAAGGAGAAGTTCAGTCCAGAATGATAGAGAAATATTGTGCCATCTAGGACGCACATAGCACTGCATACCACTCCAAATATCTCCTTTTTTTTCCTCCTCCCTCCTCAAGATTCTTCCAGCCGCAGGCATTGTCTGTTTTTAATATTTGATCTCTCTGATGCTTCTTCACAGTGGTATCGGTAATCAGCAGGGATGAGGCATGTCCACCCCTATGTGGCACTCTGAAAAGGCTCCTGGGCGGAGGTGAAATTTTCAGCCTGTGTTGATTATAGCCCTATTCTACTTGTAAAATACCTGCCTTGATTTGAGAGATGGTTAGATACCTTGGCTACCAGGCGATGATTCTTGACTTGTTTCTTGCAGATTTCTGAAGTGGAGGTTATCAGTGTAGGCCCAGCTGTGGGAATACTGGGGTTCTCAGAGTTTGTTTGCACTTCAGACATGGAAATTTTTCTGTTCACATTCCATCTCCTTTTTTTAATTTTGCAGTCATGTTCAACAGCATATTTCCTAGCAGAAACTTTAATTTTCAACATATTTCACTGTTAATATACAATGCTGTTCTTCTGCCTTTTTTTCTGTCTTTTTCAAACAGTTTATATTCTTCAAAACCTGTGTTTCCCCAAGTTTCTGAAATCCCTCTAACATTTGACTTGATATCTTCTACTGATATTTCTAACTAGTCCTTTTTTTTTTTTTTTTTTTTTTCACAGGAACAATAGCACCTCCTTTTAAAATTTTAGAGTTTTTCATCTAGCTTCTCAACAGAAAAAAAATGTTACACTGTCCCCATTGTAGTTTCAGGGCAACCGTTTAGAGTACCACTTTGCTACAGCAAAAATCTAGGCTCTTAGTCCTGTTCTCTTCTCTGTCAATTCCAATTCACACTGAAGGCCTTCTCACCTGAGCTTGGTAGCGTATTCAGGTAAGGGTAGATGACATGTCTGGGGATATGGGTTAATGTCCATGTTTTGTTGTCACTTGTAACCAGTATGTTATGTAGTTAGGACACCAGTCTAAGCTATTGGAGGGTTACTTGTCTGCCATTCCTCCTGATGTGTCAAGAGGTGCAGTCAATACTCGCCCAGGATGTGTTTACATTCTCATTTGAATTTTCCAGGAATTCCCTTGTGGAGCAAACCTCTGAATAGCCCCCACTTACTGCTCTTCCGATACTGGTTACAGGGTGCTCTCAGAGTGTGTCCCCTGGGTTCTGTTCAGGAGAAACTAAGCTGGAAGGCATCCTGAAATGTGAAGTGGATGCTCGGTCTTTAGCACTGCCAGTTTCTACAGATCTGCTCCTGGTGCACCTGTATTATCTGCTAATGTATTCATAGTCACAGTTCTTTGGGAAGAAATAAAAGCTTGACATTTTGTTGCACTGTAAGATTTGCTGCTGAGATAGTATATTATGCCAAGGATTTCAAAAGCTAAGGAGGATGAGACTGTTCATCTTTCCTTTCCCTTCAGAAGGAAATTTTAAGCAGATGGGAAGGATTGAGATATCTTTAAAGACGTTTGAAATGACTAAGAGATGTGGAAACTCTAAGGGGAAAGTTGGTGCACAAAAGATAGGTAGTCTGGTAAAGAACATGTATCTATCCCTGAAACTACAACTTATTACAAAAATGTTTGGTGAACAGATATTAGAGATTTTCCGTGAGTTTAAGAAAGTCTGGGAGGTGGAGACTCTGTGGGGGACCAGCATTTCTTATGCTGACAATGACTTATGGGAAATTTAAGCAAAAGAACTTTACTGACATTCGTGGAAGCATAATTCCTGCTCCTGGAACAGAACATATGGAACTTCATG